AAAAAAAATATTACATTACACCTCTTCTTGCACAACCAGATAATTCGGGAATATCAACTGATATTTAAAACATTTAATTTAAGCTACTATGGTAAGTTGGCTTTGTACTTTTGTAACTGGGATCTCTGTGTGACAGAACTTCTCTGCCAAGCTAGTTCAAAAGTTATAATGTAATTCTATTTTCAGTATGACAGAAAAGTTTAATGGGAAAATATATATCTTGACATAAACTGTGGAATGATTAAAGGTCTTTTTCATAACAAGCTATAAAAAGTTAAAGTGTATTTTTATAATTTTTTTCTCATTTGGTTATAACTAGCAATATCATTTTGAAAGTTACAATTTGTCTTCTTCCCACAAAACTTCTTCATACCATTTCAAAACTTCCCAATATAATGGCCCAAATGACTAACAAAATACAAGATCATGTCAGTTGCACAACACTGATCCTCTTACCTGTCATATAAACTCTTCTGTATTTAGCTCACTGTCACCTCACATTATAGGAACTGTGTGTTGAAAAAGGTACCTGCACAACTTATATTTATAGTTATATTGTGGCTGTAATTTCTGAATAATTTTCAAGAACAGAGAAATACCAGTAACTTCTATTTGCCCCAATATAATACATAAGCAAATATGATTTTCTTCCAAAACATAATTAGGTGGATTTTCAAAAAAGAATAACAACCTGGGAAACATACTGATATTCTTATGAATAATTATAACATAGGCCTGATGGTACAAATGTATATCAATAAACTGACATGACAGAATCTAAAAACTGTCAGGGAATTATACAAACCTACTAATGCTAAATTGCTACATTTCCTTTGAAAATATGGTTTATCTGAAATAGTTGTTTTAGGAAAAAGGTTGTTAATCTCACATCCTATAATCTGGCATTTAGGGGAAAAACCTACATCATCCTCTGTAGTGGAAGGGTTTTTATAAGAACGTAACATTTTTATATTTAGCTAAAAATTTACTTACAAGTAACCACCACCTGAGATGTGGGGAAGAGTCAAGTAGGATCCACATATCTTAACACACGCAGCTAGGACTCTGATGATATACCAACTGCCTGCCTAACTATGTCTCATCTCCTAACATTTGTCTCCTTATTCTCAGAATTCCAAACCCACTGTCCTTGATGCAGGACCTAAAATGAATGTGGCCCCGTCCTGCCAGAGTGTCTGCATATGCTCTATTCTCTACTGTAAAAGTGTGCCACACTTACCTTCAGGTTTCTTCTTATAGTACATTGCATTCCTAGAGGGAGAACTCTGTATCCATCAAAAAATACACAAAAAGGGTCCTCTTTTGTATCATGAAATATACAAGTAAACAACTAATTTGGGAAATCTCTGAGAAGAGACTGGAATGAGCTGACCTACACCTCACCTTTGTTCCCATGGCAAATAAGTGCTCAGTAAGTTACAAATACTGCACTGAGGGAGGAAAAAAAAATAGATTTCCATG